TTCAATCCATCTCTCTCTCTTATTATCTAGAGAAGTTTTTCTAAACTTAATTCTAGCTTTTATTTATAATTACTTGTTGATTATCAATTCTATTAAGCTAGTATTTACATTTGAGTTTAGTTGATTTTGTTTTACTCATTGTTTACACACACCCACATTGAGCTTATTGTATTTTCATACATAGTATATTTGGGTTGATGAGAGTTGTAACAATTGAGTGTGAGCTTTAATTGAGTTCTCACATTGTATTAGAGAACAAATCATTTGTTATTACATTATGAGTATTGTAAGGTTTTCAGTGAGCTAGAAAACCGAGTGTGTTGTAATGTTTTCGGTGAACTAGAAAACCGAGTGTGAGGAGTGGACGTTGATCGGTGAACGTTGAAAACCGACATTGTGAGAGTGAGTGTATACGTTGATCGGTGAGCGTTGAAAACCGACATAGTGTGGTTGTAAACGTTATTCGGGTGAGCGTAGAAAACCCGATCGTGATAGTGGATTTCTCTCCGGGAGTGGGGAGCGGAGACGTAGGACGGAAGGTCCGAACTCCGTGATCATATTGCTTGTTTGAGTTTGGTTTAGCACACTTATATTTGTTCATCTTTATAGCCTTTCTTTTATTTATTGTTTATTTCATCCACTATATCATTTGTTTATGTTACCCTTGTGTTTGCATATCCTTACATATATCATATAGTATACCTCTTTGCTAGGATATATCACCTTGTGTATATTGCATATTCTTGCACATAACTCTTTGTATATCTATCTTGCAAGAATATATTTGTTAATTAGTTTTAATTGGTATAAAATCGGATTAGATTAGCATAAGACCCTAATCACCCCCCTCTAGGGTCTAACAAATCTCACTTGCCAAGACTCAGAATGGGTGATTGATTCCGGTGCCTCCTACAATGCTACTCCCCGGAAGGACTACTTTACTTCGCTTTGTGAAGGTAATCTTGAAATGGTAAAAATGGGTAAGAAAAACTCTTCTCAAATTCTTGGCATTGGAAATATTTGTGTTACTACTAACCTTGGAACACAGATGGTTCTAAAAGATGTTGGATTTGTGCCCGATCTTCGTCTCAATCTTCTCTCCACTGGCAAGCTTGATGAAGAAGGATACACGAGCAGCTTTGGTAAAGGTTGTTGGAAGCTTACCAAAGGTTCACTTGTACTAACGAGAGGAAAGATGTGTTGCATTCTCTATAAGACTCGGTTTCACTTAGAGAATGATGACCTTGGAATAGTGGAAGGTACCTCTATGGATTTATGGCACAAACGGCTTGGCCACATGAGCGAGAAAGGGCTACAAACTCTCGCAAGGTGATAACTACTTCCATCCATGCAAGGTACAACACTATCCCACTGTGATCACTACTTGATTGGGAAACAACACCGGGTAGCTTTTGTTAAAAAACATAACAAAAAGGAAACTGACATATTGGACTTAGTCTATTCGGATGTATGCGGACCCATAAATGAAAAAACTTTTAGTGGTGCCTCATACTTTGTGACCTTCATAGATGATGCATCTAGAAAGGTGTGGGTGAATGTCATAAAAACCAAAGATCAAGTCTTTAAAGTTTTTAAAGACTTTCATACTAAAGTTAAAAGAGAAACCGGAAAGCTCTTGAAGTGTATTCATACTGATAATGGTGGTGAGTATACTTCAAGGAGGAAAGCTCTTGAAGTGTATTCATACTGATAATGGTGGTGAGTATACTTCAAGGATGTTTGAAGACTATTGTTCTTTTTATATACTGATAATGGTGGTGAGTATACTTCAAGGATGTTTGAAGACTATTGTTCTTTTTATGGCATTAGACATCAAAAGATTGTTCCACACACACCACAACACATTGGGATTGTAGAAAGGATGAACCACACAATTGTGGAAAGGATAAGGAGTATGCTATCCTTAGTTAAATTACCAAAAATATTTTGGAAAGAAGCAGTGCGAACAACATGCTACTTGATAAACATGTACCCCTTAGTTCCCTTGGATGGAGATATTCCTGAAAGAGTTTGGAGTGGAAAGGATATTTCATATTCTCACTTACGGGTGTTCGGGTGCAAGGTATTTGTACATATACCTAAGGAGAAAAGAACAAAGCTTGATGATAAAGCTATTGCATGCATCTTTCTAGGATATGGAAATGATGAATTTGGGTATAGTTTGTAGGATCCTAAAAATAAGAAAATTGTGAGGAGCAGGGATGTTGTGTTTTGTGAAGATAAAACACTTGCTGATTTTGAAAAAGAAGAGGAGCCACAAAACACTCATATCATCCCAGATCCATTCTCTGCACTAGTTGTTTTTCCTTCTCCCATGCTTGAAAATAATAATTTTTAAGATGTGCAGGAAGAAGAAGAAATTGTAGGTTCCCCAGGTTTTGATCAGGAGGAGCATGAACATGCAGAGCCACCATATATGGATCAGCCACAAGTACCTCAGTTGAGACTGTCAGAGAGAGAACGACAACCCTCAACTAGATACCCTGCTTCAGAGTATACTATGATAACAGATGCATGTGAACCGAAAAGTTTTCATGAAGCACATGTTCATGATGATCGTGCAAAGTGGAAGAAAGCTATGCAAGAGGAGATGAATTCTTTGCATAAGAATCACACTTATGACTTGGTGGAGCTACCTAAGAACAGAAAAGCCTTGAAGAACAAATGAGTGTTCAAAATCAAGAATGAAGGAAATGACCAAGTCAAGTACAAAGCTCGCCTCATGGTGAAAGGTTTCAGTCAGAAGCAAGATATTGACTATGAAGAAATTTTTTCTCCTGTTATAAAGATGTCTTCTATTCGGGTTATTCTTGGTCTTGCTGCTTCTCAAGACCTTGAAGTTGAGCAGTTAGATGTGAAAACAACATTCCTCCATGGTGATTTGGCAGAAAAAATCTATATGGAGCAGCCAGAGGGTTTCAAGGTAAAGGGCAAAGAACACTTGGTTTGCAAATTGAAGAAGAGCTTGTACGGACTCAAGCAGGCACCGTGACAATGGTATAAAATGTTTGATTCTTTTATGCTTGACCATGGGTACAAAAGAACATCTATAGATCATTGTGTTTATGTCCAAAAGTTCTCGGATGATGATTTTATTATTCTCTCTCTATATGTTAATGATATGCTTGTTGTTGGAAAAGATAGGTCTAAAATTGATAGGTTAAAGAAAGAGCTGAGCAAGTCCTTTGACATGAAGAACTTAGGAGCAACACAACATATATTGGGAATGAAGATTTCTTAAGACAAAAGTACGAAAAAGTTGTGGCTATCACAAGAAAGATACATTGAACGTGTTCTGGAGAAGTTCAATATGTTGAACACTAAGCCAGTCAGCACACCGCTAGCAGCTAATTTTAAGCTAAGTACACAACAAAGCCCTTCAAGTGAGAAGGAGAAGGAGGAGATGAAGAGCATTCTATTTGCCTCGACCATCAGAAGTTTTATGTACTCCATGGTTTGTACACATAGCACATACAGTTGGAGTGGTAAGTCGTTATATTGCCAATCCTGGTAAAGAACATTGGGAATCAGTAAAGTGGATCCTAAGATATCTTAGAGGAACCTCTAAATATTCTTTATATTTTGGAGATGGAAAACCTATCTTGGAAGGTTATACTGATTCTGATATGGCAGGTGACTTGGACAAAAGAAAGTCCACATCAGGATACTTATTTACCTTTGTAGGGGGAGTCGTATCATGGCAATCAAAGCTGCAAAAGTGTATCGCTCTATCCACCACAGAAGTTGAGTATATCGCTGCTACAGAAGCCAGCAAGGAGCTCTTGTGGATAAAAAATTTTCTGAAGGAGCTATCTCTCAAGCAAGAGAAGTACACTCTATATTGTGACAGTCAGAGTGCCGTTGACTTGAGTAAAAATGCTTCCTATCACCCAAGGACAAAACATATCGACGTACGCTTTTATTGAATCCGTGATGCTTTGGAGAATCGTCTTTTGCACATTAAGAAGATTGATACAAGCCAAAATCCGTCTGACATAATGACGAAGCCTCTACCAAAAGAGAAGCATGAATTCTGCCGAAGAAAGACAGGTGTGACTACTGTTTGAAAACTTTCTCCTCATGAGGATGGATGGGGAGATTGATGGGAAGCGGGGTCCATCCCCATGATGAATTAATATGGATTTAATCCATGGAGATTTTGTGGTTGACTACATGCATGATGATGAATTAATATGGATTTAATCCATGGAGATTTTGTGGTTGACTACATGCATGCATTGATAGATTGTCTTTCCCCATGCATTGGATTTAATCCATGGAGATTTTGTGGTTGACTACATGCATGCATTGATAGATTGTCTTTCCCCATGCATTGAGAAAAGAAAGGGTTAGTCTTTGGACTTCCCCATGCAATAAATGCGGTGTACCCAAGAGGCATATCCTCCCTATAAATAGAGGGAAGATGGTGAATGTTGAAAGCAATAAGCAAGAAGAAGAACCACATACAAATCTGTAATCCTCAAATGAGTTTGAGAGAAAGTGATCCTCAAGTTAAGTTATACCAACTTGAGAGAAGATCCTTTGTAAACTTTCATTTGATTATAGTGAAAACGGTGAAGAAGGGGCGGGTGAGGATGTAGGCTCAATTTGAGCTGAATCTCGGTAAATCTTGTGTGTGCAATCTCTCTATTTTTCTGTTTTTTCTCTTCTTCTTCTTTTTTTTGTTCTCATCTCATCACAAAGACGGAAAAAGTCTTGTTGTACTGTTAATTTCCCAACAATTTCTTTAGTTTTTAAATTAGAATGGAGTTATCTATAATATGCTCAAACCTGAAACACATTTTAACAAATTAAACAAGCTGAGGAAGAATTTTCTAAGACATTCACGATTTTGGACTCACTTGCGCGTAAAATGAAGTCTGAAGTCCCAAAAGTCTATCCCCAAATTACAACATAACCTGAAATTTACTCTTTCTTCTTTTAGGATGCGGGTTCTTTACGGGTCGGATCTTTAACTTTACGGATTTTCTCAGGTTCCTACCCCCCGCTCTCTCTCTCTCTCTCTCTCAACTCGAGTCCAGCGACTCTCAGTTTCTCTCGGCCATGGCGACGGCTCTCAACCCCTCTCTTCGATCAATCCTCTTCTTCATCCTCTCGATCTCAGTTCTACTCCCCATCTCTCTCGCCTACAGGCCTGGAGACATCATCCCCATGAGCAAAGCCGGCCAATACCACGGAGTAACATCTCGAAACCCTAATCCTCTCCTTTTCTTCGGTTCTTCTCTCCTGCACTTTAATTTTTTTTTATCGACAATGTGTGATTTCAGTCGAGAACGGTCTGGAACGATGTGATCGGCCGCCACTGCCCGATCTTTGCGGTTAATCGCGAGGTACGATTGATCAGATTTTGTAATCAGGGTGTTTTTTTTTCGTTTCTAGGGTTTTGGTTGTGAATTCCGATTGGATGTGTAGGTATTGATTCCGATTGAGAAGCCGACTGGGTTCACGGGAGCTGATCCTTATAAATTGTAAGTTAGTTCTAAATTTTCACCCTTTTTTTGGGTGAATTTTTGAGCCTGGAATGTTTAAATTAACTAAAGAAAGAGAGGAATTTATGAATAATCTGTCTAGTATATGAAATTTTGGTGCGGGAAATTAATTTGGACACAATCACCTCAGAGTCTTGGCCACAATGTTGATTCCGATTGAGAAGCCGACTAGGTTCACAGGAGCTGATCCTTATAAATTGTAAGTTTGTTCTAAATATTTACCTCTTTTGGTGATTTTTTGAGCCTGGAATGTTTAAATTAACTAAAGCAAGAGAGGAATTTATGAATAATCTATCTAGTATATGAAATTTTGGTGCGGGAAATTAATTTGGACACAATCACCTCAGAGTCTTGGCCACAATGCCATTGCTTTATTTATGTACACATTCTTATTAATTTTAGCAAGATTTGACGAACCCCATCATCGTAAAGCCAGCCACTAATTTTGATTGCTTCAGTTCCGCGTCTATTTTTTCCGTAAGAGTCATCTTAGCTCATGTGGCACATTCACTAGCTTTTTCCCCCCTCTTTAAGTTAATACCTTATGCATATTGATTAGTAACCTTGTTGAACAGTGTCCATTTTCTTTTTCATGGGGCAAGGAGAAAGGATGTGATGGAGGGGATAAGGTCACAATGGTGGTGATGGGTGGAGAAAGTGTGGACTCGGGCGGAGTGGTGGATGTTCAATTGGATGGCGAACACAGTAGAGATAAGTGGATTGACATGCTCACTGGTGATAACTGATAAGTGGAGAAAATAAGGAGTTGAGGAGGTGATTTAGGAGGAAAATGTTTGCGGATCATTTTTCTCTCTAAGAGGGTAGATGGTAGATTTATTAGTGAAGAAAGTGAAAATGGGTGGATGAATGAATGAAGCAAGGGGAGAATGGTGGGTTAATAGAGCAGACCAAGATGAATAGTTGGACAGACTGTGACAATGGGCAAGAACAAATGAGAGGTTGAAGAGATGAGCAGAAAGTGGATATAGATTTAGGATGCATCAATACAGATGCTATTTACAAGTGGAACATGATGGGAGTACCCGCGCATACGTGAAATCCTAGGATACTATTAAATTTTAGACATATAAAGAAATAGATTATACATGTAAGTGTTGGTAAAAAAAGTATAGCATATTTAAGCAATTTAAGGACACCACTTGCCAGATGTTAGAAGAAACTTCTCATGTTATATGATCTAGTAGGATGAAATATCATACTCCTTGAGAAATTCTTATCAAGAAAGTACACAAAATAGGAATGCAATGCATTTGAAGATCAAATAGATTTGTAAAATCCAACTCATCATGCATGCATTTCATTTTTTAGCTTCTGTGTCTCAATTGTATTTTAAATGTTTTTATTATGTCCAGGAGATATTGTAAGTTTTAAATGTGAATAATAAGTGTTTGATATATATACATCAAGTACCATGATATCAAGCATCATATATGGAGTTGATATGGATTGGATACCTATCTTTTATCAAAATATATCACTTATAAATAGTTGGATTATGTTATAGAGAAAGTAGGGGCCCAATGCAGGTTTATATCCTTGTCAACGTATTCGTGCAACATAGAGATGCATCATAGGATAGAGACGGTGGTTATATATGGACATTTTATAGCCGTGGACGAGGAGGCAGAATTGGTGAGAGGGTCATTCATATTCTTATGGGGGATAGATATGGGTAGTCAGTTGGGTTAGGCTATGATCAACAGGAAATTATGGTAATGGAGAAGAGGAACAGAAGGTTGGTGGAGGGAGAGAGAAGAAAGAGAGGGTTTTAGAGTGGGCAAGGGGAAACAAAGAGAGACTTTTGAGAAGAAGGTGGATGAATCGGACAACAAAAAATGAAAGAATGAGAAGAATTGATGGAACGCAAATCATGATCTTAATCTGTCTTCACGAGTCACATTGAGAGATGTTCTCTACCCTGAACAGCTAGGCATTTAGCTTTTTATATTCAACCAAACTCGTGTATATTTAATTCAGAAAATGAAGTTGGAGAGGGAATTGTCAGAGTAGCATTCCATCATACTAATGACTAAAAGTTCAACATTAGCTATTCTATGGGTCAAGTTGTAATTTAACAACACATTCTTCGTCAAATGGCTAGTACCATTTTCGGTCTAAATGGTGAGTGCTTTCCTGTGGATATACCGCATCTCGCAACATGTGCTGGAGGGGTCATGGCTATAGCTTTTATGTATATTGCATATTCCACCTTTATAACAAAAAGATTGAGAAAGACATTAGAGTTAGTAACTTTATTCCCTTTAAATAACCATATATGGGGAAGGAAGTTATCAAGTTCTCATGATAGTATGAACATGATGTTTAGCATGTAACTGGTGAGGGTGGCTGGTGGGTTTCTGTGCTTTAGGTGTGCACTGATATGCTAAGTACTGTATACATTTACATCATCCATACATGCACAAAGTACGGAGATCCTAAGACTACCCATTTGGGTACTTTCTTCACGCTGCTGAATATAATTTATTAACAAGGCACAGCATGCATAATAATATCAGTATCATTTTTAATAATTTGTGGATCTGTGGCGATGAGTCTGGCGACTCTTGGATGCTTGAGCTCCAATTGATCAATAATATCCTATTTTTCTATTTTGTCTTGTATCCTATTCTGAATGTTGCCCTGATAAATCGGTAAAAAAATTTGCAGATCATTTCAAGTTGGCCATGAGAAATTTTTTATTCCATGGCTTCTTCTTATCAACCGCAAGAGTAGTGAAGTTCCAATGATTGATGTGCATTTGGTAAGAGTTTGCCCTTTGTTTAGTGTCCATTTTGCCTCATAAATGGATACCAGAATGAGCTAGTTGACTGTTTTCCCTCAATCCAAGCAGGAAAAAAGAGAACATTAACTGTCAAATATGATTTCCAAACTGAATATATTAATCTTAATGGGGAATTTGTTTATTTATTTGGATGTCATGGATGTAGTAACAGTGTGCTTATATCCTGCAGAGGTACAGTGGAAATGATTTACATGGTGTCACAGCTAAAGTTGTGGATATGCCTCACCATTGTGTGTAACTTCTACTCCACTTCTTTATTTGTTTACCAAATGCCTTTATATATGACTCTGGGCCATTTTTTGTTCTTCATATCAGCTTGCTTAAGGAAATCGTGGTTAGTTGTGTGTTCATATTGGACATTGAACTGTCCAACGCATCTTGAAGATTAAGTTTACACTGAAGATTTTTGTTGGTATACAGATGTCATATGACATGTTTTTGTTCTCTAAATTGTTCTGGTAAACAACATAAGTGGGTTTTCTTCCAAGACAGTATACGGGAACCCATTCATACATACCTATAACTAGAAGCGATATGCTTGTAGTTTGCACTATGCTCTTTGCAGACTTGAGTCTTGACTTCTAATCTTTAACATATGACCTTTTAGGGGACAACAGAAAAAAATGGAATATTTCATGTGCTACATTTAGTTATGACAAGTCTTGTGTTAGAAAAAATTAGGATAAGTGATCAATAGCTAGTAACGAAAAACATGATAACACAAATAACCAATATATGTAAGATGCAAGACTAAAAGAATGTTATTGCAATATCTGGTGGAGCTTATTAGTTATTAGGAATAACACTATCTGAAGATAATATCTCAGGACATGGGGAAATGAAATTTTAACCAAATTTATAATCTGAGAAGACTGTCGAATTGCATTAAATGGTTGGTGGCAACGGAGAGTAAATGTTGTATTAGCAAGGAAACTTTGTGTGAATTGTTAAAATACAAGATTTAAGAACAAAGGTCTGGCTTTTTTTTAACTGAAGAAAGAACAAATTACTGGGGAGAGAGGGAGTGAAAGGATGACTTAAAGAGCAAATAAAGATGCAAATGAGATTCAAAGTATAGCCAAAGCAAAAAGTGTACTTGTTCATAGGCACAGGGGAGCGTGAGAAAGAAATATAATTAGCTTACTTAAGAGGGAAAGCCCGAGGTATGGATCAAAAGTTGATGCCTCCAGTCAGTGAAAATGGTGAAATTAATGTAGAAATATTATTTCAAATTATTATGTGAGGGCTCTATTTGGAAGAATTTATTTTTGAGTGACGATAGTAGTACTGTCACACATTCAGCTAATATGGGACATCTCTGGTGCATGGCTGTTCCTCCTATAGCATTTGAATTTGGCTGGTAATGGTATATGATGGACCTTGTATGTGGTAGGAGAGTACTCAGTCGCTCTGTCACGTTGATGTATTTATGGCAGGGCTTGTTCATAGTTCACTTCTATTTAGTTGGTGTCTTTTATGTTCTGCCCATGGTAGAAGATTCGGTAGCAAAATTATATCAAAATTATGTTTTAATCATTTTGTTTGGCAAGTGATATATGTCATTTTGCATCTGCCCGTTACCTTGGCGTTGTCAGTTGAGCTGTTTATGTTTCATATTTCTAGTTACAGAAGAGAAAGATTGAGATTTTGTTTCTTTGTGCAGATATTGAGGTTCATCCAGACATACGCAAGAACTTCTGGAATCCGGAGCATTGGCCAAAGTATGTGCTTGTCAGATACACATGGTAAGTACATTCCTCTTTACCTGAGAAACTTTGATAATCTATATCGGCTATTTAAATAATGTGATACAATATGCAAGGGGAACCATTAAAAGGCTGCTAAAGCATTTTGCATCCTTAACTCAAGATAGAAATGATGAACTTGCTCAAGTGGTTGAACTGCTTCAGTCTGTATCAGGGACTTAAAGCGGCTCAGGGCACGAAGACAGCTTTAACCCCTTGTGGGAATCTAGTTTGATTTTTTAAGTGAACACTGAATGATCAGCTACCAAAATGTTTTTGGAACAATTACTTACTTACAAAACCCATTATATCTCCTGTCCCTATCTTCATCATCCCTGCAAGGTTCTAAATATTGGTTATGGAAAATATATTGGACTATCTTCATCATCCCTGCAAGGTTCTAAATATTGGTTATGGAAAATATATTGGACGGCTAAAATTCATATCAGATTCCGGTTATCGGGGATATATTGGGGATAAGTAGTAAAAATCAGAGTGTCATATTGGATGGTAGCATATATAATATAACGTGCTCAAACAAAATCTACGCACATTTAATGAAAATATTGAGAAAGGATCTTCGAGAGAGATCATCAAAAGAGGTCTTCGAGTGAGAAATTTGCGAGTGATTTGGGGGAGAGAACAGTGGAGGCAGACAGAATTAGGGTTATAAAATGAGCGGATGTGAAATAGAATAGGATAGCATGGTTTATATTTAGTGGATGCAGATCGGGTATGGAAAAAAGAGGGTTTTAGCCTCCAAACCCAAACTGGTTCATTTAGAATGTAAATTGTTGAAAATTAGACGATTTTTAACCCACGAGAAATCGGCCGCTTTATCGGATTTACACCGATATATTGGAACAAATCAGCCAAAAATGATATGTCATATATTTTTACAAAAATCGTATCGGCCATGGCCAAAACCCTATATATTGGCAATAAATCGATAAAATCAGGCTATTTTTAAATATCTGCCCCGTGTACCTAGTTTTGTAGCATAGGCGAAGATTTTCATCGCAAAATTTATTCTCCTTTCCAGTAGCATATTCTTGTTCTTATTGTTTTCCCCTCCTTTTATGCTTTTTTCAGGTTTATCTGCTTTTTCNCCTTCTTCACCGTCCTTTTCTTCCTTCACCTGCCACTTCATATTTCTCCTCTCTGCCTGCTTATTTTTATTCCCTTGGCACTTTTACTTATTTCATTTATGTTATAACCACACCAATCACATAATATTACTAAGCACACTTACATTATGAAACTAACTGTAGCTACACCAACAACAACAAAAACCAAAGACCATTAACGAGACTTTTGTTGTTGACTACTTGAATCTGTTTCTTTCATTTAGTTCCCACTTGCTCGATTAAATTGACAATTATAATATCCACTTTATTCCTTAGATGTTTCTTTAAGCTTACCTCTTATCCTATTAATAATAATCCTATCATCTCACGTACTTAACGTCAGGATGTTTGGGTAGGGCCATGTGGGTTCTTTTTTCCCCATACATCAGTTGGTTAGTTGTGCTCCCTATTTGACTAGCTGTTGTCTGTTATACATCTACAACATCCTTCTAAATGTATGCACTCCTATTACTAACTAATTGTTTGCTGTTTTTGCCACCAGAGACCATGCTAACCGGGAAATTTTAAGACTTTCTTTGATGACATAAAATTACTGGTAGTAGCTATTACTAGTTATATCAGTATGTGCCTTCATGTTTAAAATTCAATCCTTG